CGAAGAATCTTAAAAGAAACTTCTTGAGATTTTTTATTAGAGTATTGTTCAATGATGTTAACATGTGTGGAAGTGGTTGAGAGAATCTATCGAAGATGTATGACCTATCCGAGGTTATTTATCGGAGCATTTCTTGATAACGTTAACATGTGTGAAAAGGTCGAGGGAAATCCACAAAGGATGTTCAATCTATCCAAGGTTATTTGCCGAAGCATTGCTTGATAGCGTTAACCAGTATGAAAGTGGTAGAGAAAAATCCACAAGGGATGTTTAACCTTTCCAAAGTTATTTGCCGAAACATTACTTGATTGTATTAACTAGTGTGAAAGACGTAGAGGGAAATCCACAAGGGTTGTTTGACCTATCCAAGGTTGAGGTTAAGACCATGCCCAAGGAGTATAAGTCTAGCTAAGGACTATATAGAGCTTAAAATTTATTGGAAGCATCCTTGCATTTGTTGGGAGCTTTATGAAAAATGGTTTTCCAAAATGTTGTCATAGATATTAATAGTATTAAAGGAATTTTCTTGGCTATAATCGCCTATGATGGTGCAACAAAAAAGCCCCCAGTTCAAATTTACTTCCTCGAACATGATGCAACTATGATTGAAAACCGAGGAGAGATAAAACAATACATAATTAGTATTGAATAATAATTAGGGAGAAGATCAATGGTATGTTGGGAGTGCTTTAATGGACGACCGACATTAAATCCCTTAATCGTGGATTGTTTATCGAGTATTGGAGCAATTTGATGATGTCAGAATTCGATGATCTTGGGCTCATTGGATTCTTTTCGACGGGCTGCTCGATTCGACTATAAGCATTTGACATTTGAATACATTTATTCATCGAATTGATATTCTGAAGCTTTCAAATTAGATTTCAGGCCCTTGATTTGAATAATTTGGTTTCGAATTGGATCGATTTTAGTGTCGTTTGATTCGTCTCTTCGAGTCATTCAATTTGTCTACAAGTTTGTTGAAATAGGAGTTCATATGATCATGTATTTAATTTTGAAAGTTGTTGATTCATATGTACATCAATATTGGTGCCTTATCTATGCAATTCATACCTGATGTTTATTTCAGCCGTTTTCCTTTCTTGTTTATTTAGTTGCGTCATTTACTTCAGAAATCTTCCCTCTTTTTCTTGTTTGTGTTCATTTCCGCCGGTCTAAGCCTTTCTGGTTCCTTGATCCCCTAAGTTTGTAAATGACATCTGTGATCAATGATCAGTCAATTCGTTCATTTTGTACTCCCCATTATAAATACGGCAAAACCTCAGTCAATCGGAGAGGATTCTCTCCTACTTCGGATTAGGTGCGCCTAACTTAGAAGAGCTGCAGATCAATTTAGTTCATTCTTTATAAGGCAGTAGGAAAATATTCGTCACTGCTGAGGCGATTTAGGTGAGGTGAACAACCAAATCTCCTGCTTACAAATTTTAAAATCACCAGATTTTTCCACCGGAGATGATCACGATTAAAAAGAGAAGCTTCATTCAAACATCAAATTCCATCATTTCGTGTAACAAAATTATAATCTTATTTAAATTGGCCATACTTTACATGCCAATGATCATCCCCCCATTCCCACCACGCCCACCATCGAACAGATTGTGAAAGAACAAATCAAACCAACTCCTTCCTCCAATCATTTAAAAAATTTAAAGCAAAGCAATACAGAATCATAACTTAACAGAATCCAAAACATCCTCATTACATTAGAATTCCCTGGGCTTGGCGACGACGGTGTAATGCTTAAGTATATGGAGACTGAACTGCCCTCCTTTCTCAGAAGTATCGAGCTTCTCCATACCCGGCGGCGGCAGGAGCTCAAAGTTCTGGACGAGGCGGCCGAGAGTGATTCCGAGAATAGGGAGGGCGAGGATGATGCCAGGGCAGCTGCGGCGGCCGACGCCGAAGGGGATGAAGCGGAAGTCGTTGCCGTTGGCCTCAACTTTTGACTCCTCTTCGAGGAACCGCTCGGGGCGGAACTGATCGGGGTTTTTCCATTGGGCGGGGTTGTTGGCGAGCCACCAGGCGTTGACGAGGATCTTGCTCTCGGCGGGGATTTCGTAGCCTCCCAGCTTGGCGTCGTGGAGATTCATGTGGGGGACGAGGAGAGGGATGGCCATGCGAAGCCGGAGAGTTTCTTTTATGACGGCCTGGAGGTAGGGGAGCTTGTGGGTGTCGGGCTCTGTGATTTGGTTGCCGCGGCCAAGGACGGTGTCGAGTTCTTCGCGGAGCTTGCGCTGGACTTCCGGGTGGTTTACTAGCTCGGCGATGCCCCACTCGATCGACCATAGAGTTGTCTCGATTGCTGCAAATTCACAATGAATAAATTTTCAGAAATAATTACTCTGGTAGAGGGGGACGGATTACGGATTGACAATAACATAAATGTAATTTATAAATAATTAGTATAAAATTAAATTTAAAATAGATTTAAAATTTTGAAATCCATCATGAATTCATGATTAAAATTTGAATCATAATATATATGCAAAGTTTTCTCTTAAATTTTAGCGCTTAATTCAATAATTAGCTACGTTTTATTAGCATTTTAATATAAAACAAACAATTTAATGGCACATGATTTTATCTCCAAATAGAGAAAATATTTCGCATGCAAGTCATTTTCCACTTGCAAAAGGTAGCGTCAGGCCAGCTAACAAACACTCAATGATAAGTATCATCTATCTTACGAACTTTTATTAAGACCTCTGACGGGACGTAGATCTACGTTCGGTCAGAGGATTGTTACTCGATTTTTGCTCGGTATTTGGTTGGTATTGGTCGGTATTGTTTGGTAATAACGAGGAATACCGCTCTATGAAGATCAATACCGAGTTATACCGAGCAATACCGAGTAATACAAAAAATGCCGAGTTTTTTATGTACCGAGTAATACAAAAAAATACCGAGTTTTTTAGAAAAACTCGGCATTTTTTGTATTACTCGGTATAACTCGGTATTTTGTCTTCACATAATGATATTTTTTCGTTATTGTTGGTATTGCTCGATATTTGCTCGGTATTTCTCGTTTTGTGCGTGCGATCTTAGTGTCGGCCAAACGTAGCTCTACGTGCGTTCACCGGATGTAATAAAAGCTCCTATCTTACAGATGGGAAAGACTTTTTAGGAATCTTTAATGCTTGATTCTTATCAATTAAATATATTCATCTACTCCATTGGAATAATATCCTAATAATTTTTATAATAACGTGTGAGAGTTGGACTATTTGATTAGTAACATTTAATATCTTAATTAATTTGCTAATTTGTCTTGTAAACGTGAATGCGATAAAAAATGGGAAATTTATAGAAAAATTTCCAACAACTTTAAAAAGCATATTCTACTAATAATATATGATGTGTGTGAATTTATTGATTTAATTCTTTAAAAAAAATCAAGCAACAGCATCCTCCACTTGCTTATTAAATATAAGTGATGCGATAATTCTTGAAATATAAATATTATTGGTCCGGAGTACAAGACAAACAAGAAAATTTATAAATAGGCAAACTAAATTTTAACGTTATATTAAATAATTATCTTATAATTATCAAATAAAATTTTATATTTTAAATTTGCCTTTATTATCCATACTTTTTTAAGGGAATGATGAGTAATAAGATTAGTATAAATAAAGTAGAGGCAGAAGAAAGAGAAAAATTCCTAACAACTTAATCGCACCTCATACAGCAAAGTTTAATTATTAATTCTATTTGGAATGTTAGGTGTGGAATCATAAATTACTTCTTTTTTTTTTTCTGAAATGTTAGGTGTGGAATCATAAATTTGATGTAGGTTAAATTTAATCCTAAAATTTAATAACAATTTTCAAATTTTTTACAAATTACGCTAACTAGCGCAACGATGGAGATCATCATGTAATTTTTATGCAAAGACGGAGTCAATATGACAAAAAACAATTAGTAAAACTAACGGACATATTATGAACTGTAGAAGTTCCTCAATCAATCTTTGTTGATCAGGTTTAGTTTATTTAGAGATTTTTACTTAAAAAATTGATTTATCTTTCTTTTATTTAGGAGTTTGGTGGCTGCACTTTACCAGCCAGTGACATTCCGCGACAAGTAGCCAATGGATTTCAGGCCCTGAAGACTGACAAGAGCGGGAAAGCTCGCCAATCCATCCATGGAGTTTAGGGTCAAATGACGCGTGAATTTTCAAAAAGAACTGTTGTGGGTTCTTCGATGCCACGGTATGAATCGGTGGACAGTGGGCATTGAGTATACAGTTAATTAATTTAACGAAGCTGAAGGAGCAGAAGATTTACCAGCAACGTTGATGTTTTCGACGATGTAGAGAACGTTATCCTCGTTAATCTCGCCCTTCTTTTCCGCATCCAGTATATGATCGATGGCGCACTTGAGTCCGGCGTTATCCATCGGCTTCGTGCTCGACAATTTCCTACAAACATAAAATTCGCACGAATCTCAGCCAAAGAACAACAGATAAAAATAGTTTTTAGCAGGAAAAAAGGGTGCTAGAAGTAATCCAAAGTCTAAAGAGGAGTTGAGATATTCATCGGAAGGAATATATACGAAACACTCACTTCCTCTCCTGAACGAAATAGTTCTTGAATAGGTTGAGTCGCACATCTTTCACATCCTTGCAGATCTTGAGATATCCCCTCAGGAACGGCCGGAGAATGGGGATAAAATCTCCATAGTTGTACTCGAAGCTCTGCGCGAGGCGACTCCGCTCGTTATTAAGGGCCCTCAGCTTCATGAAAAGGGGATCGTCCTCGCTCTCAAACCTTCGGTCGAACATGATGCGGTACATATTGTTGTACATCATGAGTTGCAGGCGGCGGCGGATCACAACCCCCTCGGTGGCCGACTTAGGGTTTTTACGGACATCCTCAACGACGCTTGCGGCCTCATCTTCCCACCCATAGCGGTATTGCTGCACGACCTTGTTGGTGAAGAAGGGGACGGTCATTATGCGGCGCATCTTCCGCCAATGCTCGCCGTATACAGTGAAGACCATGTCCTGACCCTTTCCAGTGAAGATGTCAAAGACGACGTTGCGAGTTCGGGAACCAAATTCGACTCCCTGAGTGTGGAGGACCTCACGGGCATGATCCGGCGACGAGACGACAACGAGATTGCGCTGGCCCATTCGGAGGAGAAGGATATCGCCGAACTTCTTTGCCAGGGATGCGAGATTGCGGTGATTGAGGTCGTCGCCGACCTGGAGCCAGTTGCCGAAGATCGGCACCGGAAGGGGCCCTGGCGGGAGCTTGAGCTTCTTCCCGCTGAGCTTAGAGACGACGATGGCGAGAGTCACCGCCGCGAAGAGGCCGAGTAACGCCTTCTCAACCAACACCAGATCCATGGCGCCTAGAAAAGAGAAGGAAGCTGAGCTGAGGTTAGAGCAGATGAGTTGATTTGATTTGTTTGGGTTTAGTGTGCTGGGAAGAGAGGGAAGCTTTTATATAATGCGAGAGGTTGGGGGTGGGTGAGAAGGGCGCCGTTAGATTTAACGGCTCGTTACGTGGTAGGTAAAGCACTAACGTGAGGCCGAGGCGTCGTATGAGGACATGCTGTCTACCATCGATGAAGTGGAAAAGAAATGGAGGCGGAGGAGGTGGGTCCGCGGTTTAGACGGGGAAAAAAATTGACACTGCCCCAACAAAAACATAGATTTCGATTAAATTTTTATTAGAATAATTTTAAATTAAAGAATTGATTAATTAGTTAAAAATTTATTAAATTAAATTAAAATAAATTTACTGTTTAATAATTAATTCTAATTACAATTTAATAAGAACATGTCGATCTAATATTTGTATAATAAATTATATTCAAATATTCTTTTTAGTTTAATCAGTGGGATATTATTAAAAAAAAATATTTAATCAATCACAAAATTATGAATTAAAAATTATATAAGGATCACACATGAAGACTTGTCTCGATAGGCTATATTGAATATTTGTCTAATAAATTATATTCAGATATTCTTTTTAGTTTGATCATTGAGATATTATTAAAAAAATTTATTTAATCAATCACAAAATTATGAATTAAAAATTATATAAGGATCACACATGAAGACTCGTCTCGATAGGCTGGATTGAGGCATAATCATCATTTGCAAAACCCATTGGAAGACTCAAACACACATGAAGACTCATCTCGCTGGATTTCATGTTGTTAATTTTAGCAAGCAGGATTGCTCGTCAATGATAACTAGTTGTAATCAAGGCTACTTGCCTGTTGCTGATATCTTTGATCCAACTCATGAAGCACACACCTAGAACCTCTTTCTTGAGGCTTGCTAGGCTGAGTCAATTCTCAGTTAGCTGCCATTTCCACCAAAGGAAGTTTGGCCCTTACACTTGGAGGTCATAGTAGCACATATATGGGCTCACTTGTATTCCAAAGGATTCTCCTTTATGGCATTAATATAGAGCCACATTAGAGGTGGGGATATGATCTTCGTAGCAATATCTTTATAATTATTATAAATGTATAATTTTTATATTCTATGTCAAAATAAAAAAAAAATATACGGGCACAAATAACTTTACAATTTGATATCATAGTCTTAAATTCACATAACCATTTTTAAAATTTAATATTTTGCCTTCAAAATTATTGCGTCCTGGAATATTCGAGGCGGTAGATAAATATAAAGTTTAACGTCTTAGCTTTGTATGAAGATCCAACACACATACAGATAAAAGAGATAGTGTATCATTCATTAGATCAAATTCCAATATTTTTACGTGGAAAACTTTGAATAGGAGCAAAATCACGGGGCCTAGCCCAGTTTGAATGAATCAACTAATATTCGCAGTTGATTACAAATGAGGCCCTTCATTGGAGGGAAGACCTTGACTTGATGTAACAAATATACATCATATTAGAGTGTGTTACATGGTGAAAATAAGAAGAATCACTATTGACGTGTTTGTTTGGTCGAAAGGAACATAGTCGGTGGAGGATCGTTGTTTGGCGATGGAGGTCAGAAGGATTGTTGATAGGCGGAAGTTCGTCGTCGGGTACAAATCGAACGACAAACGTAAGTTCGACATCGGGTATAAGTCCGATGAAAGTCCGGTGACGGGCGGAAATTCGACGTCAGATAGAAGTCCCACTAAAGTTTGGTGACACGCAAAAGTCTGGTGTTGGGCATAAATTCGATGACGAATGGAAGTTCGACACCGGGTAGAAGTCCAACGAAAGTCCAGCGACGGACAGAAGTTCGGTGTCGGGTAGAAGTCTAGTGATAGACAAAAGTCCGACGACAGGTGGAAGTTTGGCGTCGAGTATAAATCCGACGACAAGCCTTAGTCTGGCGACAGGTAGAAGTTCGGCGTTAGGTAGAAATCTGATGTGGGTCGGTAATCGGTCAGAAGTTCGACGACAGTCGGTAGTTGGGCTGAAGTCTGGCGGTGGTCGAGGAGGAGTCTAGTGGAGAGAGAACTCTTCATTCTCTTCTTTTTTGGGTCCCTTCTTCTCCCTCTTGCTTCTTGCTTCGGCCACTTCTTCCCCTCCATTGAATAATGAAGAAGTGCTTATTTATAGTTTTCTGAGAGTGACATGATCAATAAATAGAAGAAAGATCAAGGGTGAATTGGGATTGGTTTGAATGGACGACTGATGTTGAATACCTTGTTTGTGGACCGTTTATTAGACATTTGAATTTTATGATCTTGGGCTTGTTGGATTCTTCTCGTCGAGCTGCTGGTTTCAACTATAAGCATGTAATGTTTGGAAACCGTTTGGAAATCCAAATTATGGTTTTACCCTTTCAAATATGCTTCGTGTTTTCAATTTTGACCCATTTGGGCTTGGATTGAGTTGAATTTGATGTCGTTGTGTTCGTATTTCTGAGATAAGTCTACTAAAATTGGAGTTCAAATGGTCTCCAATTTAATGTTTGAAATTTCCAACTTGATTTTCCCTTTATATTTGTTCCCGATTAAGATAAAATTTTGATGATATATAAAAAATAATCATAAATATCTATACTTTAATATATAGAAATTTTAAATCATAGATAACAAAATTTATTAAATATATAATTAACTTTTAAAATGTTAAATGTTATAATTTAAAAAATTGTTTAAGTGTATCCGACTAAACCTTTTCCGTGGACGCACGCGGAATGATTTTTCCGCGGGAAGCGAGAAAGAGATGATAGACGACCGGCCGCCGGCCGGTCTGCTTCGGCGCGTCGACGGTGACTTGTAGAGTGGCGGGCTTGGTAGTTGGTACTGTTAGGTGGTTGCGGGCTTTGCATTTCAGTGTATCGATATATTTTTATGACAATTTGTTATAAAGAAAGTTGTATATCTGGCATAAAAAATTATCTTGTTTAATAAAATCAATGCTAAATTATTATGAATATTTTTTATGAAAAGCCCTTGATGATGGTTATGTAATTATTGAGAAAAAGTTGTACCAAATACAACTGAAATGATGAAATTGAAGAAAAATAATAACTTAGACTCCATTTGGGATGGCTTTTTTACTATTACTTAAAGCTGTTTTCGAGCACAAAATATCAACTTTTGTATTACAAAGCTAGTATAAAAAACAGTAAGAAAGATATTTCAAACGAAGCCTTAATTAGCAACGATTAAGGTTTCATTTGGGATGGCTTTCTTAATGTTTTTAAAAACATCTTTTTGGTACAAAAGCTAAAATTTTTGTACTCGAAAACTGCTTTAAGAAGCAATAAAAAGCCATCCTAAATGAAGTCTAATGCTTTGTTTGGGACAACTTTTTTACTGCTTAAAGCAACTTTCTAAGACAAAATTTTTAATTTTTTCTACTAAAAAGCTCCTTCAATAAACAATAAAAAAATCATCCCAAATGGAGCCTAAGGTTCCGTTCGGGATAGCTTTCTTACTGCTTTGCTTTTAAGATCGTATTCACAATTTTTGTTTGGCCAATATTTTCCCATTGAATTAAAAAAAAAAAATTGTACTCGGAATTTGATTTTTACAGCAACTTTAAAAAATTATTTTATCTACAACAGCTTTGCATAATAGAAAGAAAACTATCCCAAATGTAGCCTAAGAATAGCTTTCTTACTACTTTACTTTTTAAATCATAACCATAATTTCTATTTGGCCGCTGCTGTTTCATATCTTTCAAAAAAAATTTGCACTTGAAAGCTGCTCTCTACAACAATTTTAAAAATTTATTTTCTCGATAACGACCTAACAAAATAGTAAGAAAAGTCATCCCAAATAAAGCCTAAAAGAAAAAAAAAATCAAATGATCCTCTTTTAATTGACTTCAAAGAGCTTCGAAATAGATATTTGTTATAGAACTATGATCCATAGATATAGCATTTTAGTTCAATTTCTAAACAGAAATGGAGAAAAGGATGACAAATTTTCTTAAACAAGTGTTCCTTACAAGAAATTAATTGAAGCTAGAAGCAAAATTGAAAACCAAGTTGTCGGCATTTGAAACTTCTTAAATGAAAACTTCTTTGTGGGTGATTAACAATAGATTAGAAGTAACAATTAAAATTTATTTTGTTCATGCTATTAATGGTGAGTTAGGTTCATTTCATGAGAACATCCACTTCTCCAAAATCTTATCTCGTAAGGATATGAAATTAAAATCAAAAGGCCATATGCTAAGGTTAAAAGTAAAGCTTGTTTCACAAGAATGTTATTAATAACATTAAAAACTCATAAGATTAAAGGGATTAAAATACAAGAAAATTAGATTAAACAAAGCTCATAAATTTTCATTATAAAAAGAGGCAAATTTTCAACTAAGAAATACAAATAGATCAACAAACAAAAAAACAAAGGCACCAGGGGTGGTGGTTGAAATATTCTGCCGGTTAGGCCGCCGCTTTTTCAATCACATGTGTATTCGCCGGAAAGTTTGACGGTAATGACAGATTTCACGTACTGAATATAGCAAGTGAAATAAGAAAGACGGACACGGATGTTATGTAATATGAATTGCTAGTTTCATTCTAAGCTAAACTCTTTTAGATGCTCTACTATATTAGATGATCATGTAGGGCACATCAATATAAAATTATTAGAGGGCATTCATTATTGTCTTACAAATTCAATCAAAAATTCGTAAAAATAAAAAAAGAACTCCATAATATATGAAACTCATAAGAATAAGTGGTGGACTTGATCTCCATTTTATCTGAAATACTTCGGAGAGCATGCGCATACTTGAATGCCTCAAAGGTTACTTAATAATTATTTGGGTCTTCATAAGAAATTCCTCAAGATAGGTCCATAATTTATGTAACCTAAGAGAGAAAATGGTTGCTATGGCCTCCACATTATTTAAAAGAACCAAGATTTTATGCTTATTGAAAATCCCTAAAGGTTACATAACATGTGTTAGAGTCCTTATAAGGAAGTATCTAAGATGGTTCCATACAATTTATATCATATGA